ATGCGATAGGAAAAAAACAAAAGATTAGATTAATGAACAGATAAACAATTTGATATGAATATAAGCACCCTTTATTTGTATAAAAATGTGATATTAGAACAGTGGCAGATTAGTTATAGCTTAGAATCAAGTAGCTGGGTTTAGTTTGCTACATTAATCAAAAAAAAAAACATGCACGTAGAAACTAAAATATCTGCTGGCCAAAAAAATGGCAGGGCATTGTTGGATTTTTTATTTTCCTTTGGAATTAAGATGAATTTTTCCATTGGAAATTAAGAAGGGGGGGGAGGGGGGGGGGGGGGGGAGGGGGGGGGGGGGGGGGGATGATGATCTCTATTAATCTGGGTGGTCATGGCTTGAGTTTCTTGGATTATTCAAATGTTTATTATGCTAAAATTTGTTTTTAACAAAATGATACCCATTATCTACCTATAATATCAGATGTGGTTTTTAGGGCTACGAGGGTTCTGCCTCCTCAGATCTGAGCGAGTGCTGGCCGCTCCAACTTCAGATCTGAGCGAGTCGACATCCCTCTCTCCGTCTTTCTTTCTCCTCTCTCGCTTCAAAAACGACTCCCGCCTTCGAACCTCCCTGCCTTCGTTCACAACTCACCTCAAGTTCGTCGTTCTCGTAGCTCGTCGTCGACTGCTCCAGGGCCTCGAACCGTTCCGTCATCGTACCTCGGCTTCGAAGGCTCGTTGTCGACCTTGAAAGGAACCCTCCCTTGAATCTCTGTCGTCGCTCCGCCCTTCAAATGTCGTCGTTGACGGTTTTTCACGGTAAAGCAATATTATTTTTAAAGAATTTGTTGATTTAAACACTGTAAAGTATGATATTTTCATTCTTTCAATGCATGTCACTTTTATCATGCTTTCATCTTCATCTTCATTGGGCAGCAGACTCGCAAAGACAGATAGGTTGGTCGTGCAGCGTCCAGAGTTTTGATCTACATCAAGGTCTGTTATCTATTTTAGACATACTAGCCTGTTCATGTTGAAACATTTACTTTGTTTGCTATTTATTGCTGACGGTAAAGATTTATTTTAAGTTTTGATTATAGTTTTGTTTATTTTTCCTAGAACACCTGGAAAGATAGCTATATCTTTTCAGCCTTTAATTGTATGTTAACTGTTTATATGGCGGTAAATCATTTGTGGTTAACATCGTTGACACATAAGACATGGCAAATTGCGAGTCTTCTATTATCATTGAAGTATATTTGGCAATAATTTGTGACTATTTTGAGTCTGGATGATCCATATTTAAATTTGGGTGCACTCACATAAACCTTCGCTATGAGGGGATTTCGTCGGATTTTGCCTTGAATTTGTTGATTTTCGGGCAATTTAAGCAGGTATTAAATTTATTCACTGTAATATTCCCTTTCTGTTAGAATAGTTGAATGAACTATTATTTTATAACAATCGAAAAACTGTTTTAATCTATAGTTTCGCGCTAATTTTTTGGGTATTATTTATGCTTACATATCATCTAAGATTCATTAAATTTGGTTTGATGTTTATCTTTCTATCTCCTAGAATTCTGGTTCAGTTCGTTGGCGTGCAATATTTTATGATATAAATATTTATGCTCATCTTGGCTTATGCATGTATTTGAGCAAATAAACTCTTATATTTTAAATGCATTGAATGAATATTGAATGAATGAAATTTTGATTCATTTTGTGAATAGTCAGGCTGTTTTCCAGTTTTACATGGAAAAGTTGTTGTTTTCTATTTAATACTTGGGAGTCTAATTCATTTTAGTCTGGTTATTTATTCAGATGTGTCTTAACTGAAATTTACAAAAAGGAATTTGGTCAGTGCAGGTAAGATGTGAAAAAATGAAAGAGGAGATATATTTATCTGGTCATTAAATTGGCTTGATATTGTTAAGTTTTTCTTCTGTAAGCGGCAATTAAATGGCGAAAGAAAGTGATAGTATCTTCTGTGTATTTAACTGACTTGATGCTTAGGTTTTAAATTTGCATTTATTTGGCGTTCCTTTATCTGAACGATAGAATTTTACAGTAAAAAGCTTGAATGTTTTTTTTAAGAAAAGTATAAATAAATTCTGATAATAATAGAAAGTCTTACTCGTTGAACAAAAATAAAAGAGCTTTGCAATGTTTTAAAATTTTTTCTCTCCAAGCTTTGGGACGTTTCAGACACTCTATTGTATATACCGCGTCATAAACAAATACATATGCATTTTAGTATTGGTTGTTGGCTTCTGTGGTTATATAACGGTCGTTGAGCTTATATGACAGTATGGCTTTCGTTTGGTTACTCATCTGGTATTTGTTCTTTTGGTTTTTATGTTTTTTAGATGGGGCAGTGAGATGATAAGCAAACTGAGATTGGGCATCCTATTTTAAATGTAATTATGTAATTTTAGCGAAGGCAATTCTGTGTGGAATGCCACCTACATTGATCATTACAATGTTTGGGTGATGTAATGCGCCTCATATAGCAGCCTACATTGCATCAATACGTTTATAGAGAGGGCAATCTTTTATGACCAATCTAATTTTATCCTGAGCTCTAGTAAGTCCTCATAGATTTTGCTGATGAATTCGAGCTTGTTTATGTTCTAATTTAGTAGGAATTGGCTGCTATTTTGTAGCTTATGAGTTTTAATCATACATAGTTGAAAGAATGGTTTGATCATGTAGCTTTATATTGATAGAACTTGCTTTATCATGTTAAGTCAAGGCAACAATAACTTATAATCTGAATATAATTGATGATTGATATTACCTGTGAATTCGTAGAGCTTCGAATATACAACATCATAAATTGTTGCTTCCGAAGCCTCATAATTAATTTGGGCATATACATAAATAGCTAATTAAGTTGCTGCAATGAAATCATACCTTGCTTAAAGCATGACATTGTTAGTTCAATTTTTGAAAAGTCATAACTCTCTTTGTGTCTTTTCTTCATACTAAAACGGAGGGACTCCTTGAGTAATATGTTGAGAAGGGTACTTTCTCTACATAGACATAGGGAAAAGGCTGCATAAACATGGAAATTGCTATAATATTATGCGCACATAAACACAGGACCATACTCAATATTCAACTACCATTCATTCATGCATGAAAGTTCTTAAACATAGTAAAGTACTTACTCCAAAATAACCTTAAAGTTAGACTAATACATATAACCACACTGAGTGTGTCAAAGCAATTATCATATAGAAAGTCACTAAGGTATTAAGCTTTTCTGAAGTGGATCTGAAGACCAAAAAAAATTCATCAGGTTTGTGCACAAAAACTTTGTAGCAACTCCAATAAAAATTCAGATCCATTTCTCCTTGCCACACTCATTGGAAGTTCTTTTTCTTTTGAGATCTGCAACAACACAAAATAGATAATGAGCTATTTATGATATTGTATTCATATAGTGGTTAGAACATGTAACAAATGATTGCTAATCAACTTAACCTTCAGTTTCTTTGATAGTAGAATTCCTTTGAATGTTCTCGTCTTCTCCAAGATCTTTTATCCTTAAAGGTGAACTTTTGAAAATCTTTTCTATCTTTGGCTTGAGTGGTGTGTTAGTCAAGGGTGTGAACACAGTTTTATCTTTTGAAATATGTTTAGGTGTTTGTAGGAGAGCGTCTTCATGTAGATCAACAACTTCAACTTCTTGGGATTCCTTTGTAGAGAAAATTAGATGTAATTTACTATACATTGTCATTTAAAATAATAAGCATTTGTAATAACTTTGCTAAGTTCGCTAACTTCAAAATTTAGGTTTGTACCTGTGAATCACCTTCAATAGCTTCGATAAGTTTTGTAACAGTGAAGCTCTCATTGCCTGTTTCATCAGTATAAAAATAAAACTATGAAAAACAAATGTAAAGCCATCTTTAAATTTGTAGGATATTATTGCTATATATTAGATAAACGTATTAGATCATTAATCAAACAAAACAATTGCTTACCTTCTTCGAAGTTATACTTTGTTAGCTTAACCTGAACTTTTATAGTCTTCCCAATAATTGATTTGATAATCTCTGGGAATATCTCCCTTTCATTGTTCTGCACAAAATAACGCATTACTTACGCACTTCTTAATGCATTTATCTTCTAATGTGTAGCAGTTTGATTATTAGAGGTCGAGCTTACATATTCTATTGTCCTTGATACCTCCTGGGCTGAAACTTTGATTAAATTTTCTGCTTCCTTTCCAAAGACAACGAATGTGCTGACTGTAGTTCTATCTTCTACATCCAATGTTATTCTATACCTATTTATACGTTTATATTTAGAAAAAAAAATTTACTCAGAATATGAAGAGAGTGAGAAATAATTATTTGTAGCGTGAAATAAATTAATTGCTTACTTGTTCTCTGCTAGGACTTCCCTGTTACATTGTCTGCACCAATAGGTGTTTCCTGATTCCATTGTTTTCTTGTTGCAATATGGACATCCATGGTATCTCCATTTTTGTTCAAGTATGCCAATAATTTTCACCTGACATAAGAAATGATAGACCTGCACAAATCCATGATAATGATGTCTATTTTCTTGAAAAATAAAATTTGGTTCATCATTTGAGTGTGAATGTTAATTTACTTCTGCTGTTTTTGGGTCTTCAAAGTATATTAATTCCATCAAAGTTGCTATTTCAGATTTCATTAAGTTTGTTTGGCTTGGACTGAAGTATACTGGTGTGGCAATAACTTGCAATTCAGTTTCAGAGTCCGTATGTCTGTACATATACATATTTTATTAGAAATTATGTGTAAGAATTGGAAAATTATGTGAAAGTAAATCATATTGTGTATGTCGCAAATCTTATAGTACTTGTGCATGTGCCCATCAATAAATTTACTGTTTGCCAAAAAAAATTAGTGGCTAATTTTCGGCATATATGCAACTTAAAAATTACCTATGTGATAGTTCCAACACACGTGAGTCTTCAATGTTTATGTAAACTTTTGAACCAAAAAATTAGTGGCTAATTTTCGGCATATATGCAACTTAAAAATTACCTATGTGATAGTTCCAACACACGTGAGTCTTCAATGTTTATGTAAACTTTTGAACCTGTACTTGCTGATGCTGAGAATTGACCTGAAGAAAATATAGCTTTTATTTTTAAATTATTCCATAAAGCTTAGTTGATTTGTATAAATATTATTGGTTCAACTTATTCATATTACCTCTGAAAGTATTTATGACAACACCAGTGACAATCATGACCATATTGTTCGGGTCTTGATTTTGAAGTTTGCTTTCCAATTCAACAGCTAATTTGTTCCACAATGTAGCTTTGAGTTCAGCATTGCTGTAATCAAGGCAGATGCAATTTAGTATTGTTAAGATAATTTAACAGAATGAAGCTGCGTTATTTATATATATTCCTACAATGTCTTTACTAAATCTTACCTTTCATCTATCAACTTCAGTGATCTTCTAGGACAACTCTTTTGTCCATTTGCAGTTAGTTCTAATGGGTATATTTCCTTTACAATTCCAACGATATCTATTGAAGATATAGAATATATTTAATAATATCAGAAAAAATGTATTATTGAAAAGATGAATCAGTAATTAAAATTACAACCTGTCAAGTAAGTTTTATTTGTGCTGAGTGAAGGCAAGTCACTGAATGCTGTGTAGTGGAATTTGTACTTTGGAATTAAAATTTCATAATCTTGCAAGATACGGATTTGAGTCTGCCTGCAGAAACTTATCATAAACTTGTTCCTTGTAGCTCTGTAGGTACCAAATGAATGAATGACTCGAAACTTTGATAGAACATGAATGCTGCCTTCTTCCAACATAGGATGGAATCTAGACATTTCGTTAACATGAATACTTCCCTGAATTAAAGTGTCCTGCAGAATATAGATATTATTAAAAATTTAAACTTGAATGGTGGAAATATAAGCTATGAATTACTGTTCTTGTGAAAACTTTATCAATCCAGAAATCAATGGAAGTGACTAAAAAGGTTATAAATTTCTTACAGATTCATCCAAGAGGATGATATACAGTCCATAATATTCTTTTGTTTTGATGTTAATATTCTCCCATATGTTTGTTACACGGGCCTTAATAGTAACCTCTTTTGATTTGATGTTAAGATCCTTGATTGCTGTGTACACTCCAACTTCCATCTTAAACTGTGAAGACCTGTAACCAATTAATAAGCATGATAGATCATAATACTTACATATAAAGCATTAAAATGTATGCAATGTCAGATAATAAAACACAAATTACAATGCATAATTAGACCTAAGGTTCCATAAGATCTGTTTATTTGTATTATATGTATATTGCATACCATATCACTATTTAATACCTAATCTACTTAAAACTATTGTTATAATATAATAATGACATGCTAGTTAGATTGTGTTTGATCCCTATAATACCTTAATTCAAGTTGTTGAAAATTTCATGATAAACTACATTCACTGTAACTCCATTATTAGCCACATTATTGTCATTGTCCACAATAATAATTTTAAGACCTTGAGGGGTCGTCACTCTTGACACTGCGACGTAAAATTGTCCATGTGTGAAACATGGTCTTGGAAGGTACAAACCCACATAATTCAATGTTTGTCCCTGACTTTTA